TCATCACTGTGCCCTGTCATATGCATTTTATTTTAAGCTCACAACATATAAAATAGTACTATGTTCAATTTAAATGCTCAGTAAATCTTAGCTATTAGTATCATTTTTATTTTTACTCTTTGGCATGTAGTTGAGCCAATTTTTTTAATCCAATACGAATTTTACTTCACGTTAAGACTGTGGCAAGTTTGCTTTTGCCACAAAAGATTTTGTTTATCTTGCAACTTATCGAACATCTTTTATTACCTGCTTTTGATATAGGGGATATTCCTTTTTGCCAGTTAACGATAATTGTGTGACTTGTGTTTTATTAGTTACCTTTTACTGCCACCCCCCACAAAACTGTCTGTGACGTTAATGACAAAAAAGATCCCAAGAAGCACCACCAAATCCCATATCTCAAGTCATCGCAAATGAAGTGGAGTCCCTGTAGTGCAAGGTGTGAATAGAGAGCAGAAACTTAATATTCTCCACTTAAAATTCATATTTTGACATAGAATAGCCTCCACACTAAAACCCAACGTATGTGAAAAACATAAACGAAAGGACACCTCACTCATATAAATAAATGCAAAAATCCTGAACAGAAGTTTAACAAACCAAACCTAGAAATATACGAAATGATAATGCATCATGACTGGAGTCGATACAAAGAAGGGAAGTTTGCCTTAACATTAGAAAGTAAAATAATACAATTCACCATTTTAACATATCTGAAGGAGGAAAGCAAATTATATAAAGTTCAACACTTATTCATTACTGAAAAAATTCTTAGCGGGGAGCCAGGGTGGCTCAATTGGTTAAGCATCTGACTTCGGCTCAGGTCGTGATTTCATGGTTCATGGGTTCAAGCCCCGCGTCAGGCTCTGCACTGACAGCTTAGAGCCTGGAGCCTGCTTCAGATTCTGTGTCTCCCTCTCTCTCTTTCTGCCCCTCCCCTATTTGTGCTTCTCTCTCTCAAAAATAAATAAATAAACATTTAAAAAATTTTAGCAAAATAAAAATACAAGAAATCTTTGTAGGTTTAAAGGTCTCTACTGAAAATGCCTATTACATATAATTTACTCCAAAGTGCGATTTGAGAGCATTCTCTTCGAGTGACAAGGCAAAGATGCTTCAGTAATCACAAGATTCAGAGGGTAAGTCCTCCCATAATACCCATAAATTCATGTGCAGTCCAATCATTCATGCATGCATTGTTTATGCTTATTTATTTAGCATCTATTTGTATCAGAGTCTTGAAGAGATACAAGAATAAGCAAGGAATGTGTCCTGCACTTCAAGGGGTATCCATGTTAATATGAGAGACAGACGTATAACAATAACAGTTCACTGTGCTCTGAGTTAAAGTTGACACATATAAAAAGGGTAGAGTGAAAAATGACATCAGCAACTAATAGAATTGGGTGAATACATAGAATTCACTGGGGGTATAGATTGAGAGCCAGATCTAGAAGGCTCTTAATACCTTCCAGGAAGGTATTAATGTAAAGAACAGGGAAAGTTTCAAAACTCTGCATAGCTTTGAACACCCCAATGATCATTTTAGATTTTATCCTATGACTAGTGCAGGCAGGTAAAGAAAGCATATTTATTAGCAGGTGAAGATCTCAACTACCACCGAAGGCAATTTTCTTGATTTTTCTGTAACTTATCTTTACCTCTCTTATAAGCCCCCATGTCATGGGATGCAATAGACTTAAGTTCAGTCGATTTGGGTTTCCCACTCACTTCTCCCAGAGTAGCTATGTAGTCTGCCTCATTTCCACACGAACCGATTAGGATTGTGTCTGTAGGTGTCTTCTAGGATGAAATGGCCATCTATCTCCAAATGGAAAAATGGATGTACACACAACCCGAAACTCTGCATAATGTGCTTAACAATAGCCGCCTCTAGACTAGAATCCGATGTCTCTTACGCGTGTTCCAGACCACCCACGCGTGGCACGGTGAGGGGCATGCTGCTTTAGCTTTTTCAGATGTCACAGCCACTGTACCCTCATCAGTCTTTCCTCTATCTCCAAGAAAAATGCCACTTTTGTTGAAATTGAGATATTAATTCTTAGTTCTCTGCCTTCAAGGCCTTCCTTTTCGGCGTCCTCCGCTAAGACTTGGAGATTTGAGTTACGTCAGAGTAGTCTGTCATTTTCTCTCTAGTTTTCCTTCCCTCCTTCCATCCTCTCTCCCCTCCCCTCAGCCTCTGCTAATTACCTTCAGGATATTGAAAACATGCTGAAGTTCTCTTTCAACTCTGTCTCATCATAGCAATCAGGTACACCTACCTAACATCTTTGTATGAATATTCTTACAATTTGGATAATAGCTCATTATCAGATTGTTATGGCTTTTAACAATCTGTTTTACAGAAATCCTTCCTAAAACATTACAGAAATGCCAGAAAAACCCACAAGTATCTTCGTGAATCACAGGGCACAGATTCAGGTATGCAAAACCTGCTACTGTATTGTTAAAGCAACTATCACTATAACAGTAGCAAACAGCTTTTGAACACTTGCTGTATCTAAGTGTTTTATACGTATTAAATCATTAAATTGTCACAGCAAGAAGAACACATGAAGTCATCATGACTATTTTACTGAAACACTACAAGTTAATCACTTGCCCAGGGTAAACGTCTAGTAAATGGTGAGCTGGGGATTTGCATCCAAGCAATTTAGCTCCAGATTTTGTGTTCTCTGTGCTCTACAATTATAAATTTACCTCATTTCTGGGCCAAGCTCCCTAACCTCCAGGTGATAGAAACTTCCTCTCTGTCAATCTGGGTTTACTCTACCTTCCCTACTGTGTCAGTCACCCATCAACAGTGATTCTGTGGATTAGAGATCTGATCTGGGTGACCATCTACCTACAATGATGTCCAATAAGATGTCCTTCCTGGTCTCTGGACTTTGGTCCTCTTCTGTCACAGAGTAGTCATTCCTCATATCTGACAGCAAGGCTCCTTTAATTCTTACTTTTATCGGCCAGTTCCAGTGCCTTTCTCAGAAGAATTCCCCTGCGCTTGTGGCATCACAGGCAGTCAAACATTTGGTGGGGTTTCGAGGACCTGTCATGACTCCATGGCACCCTCAGGGGCTCAGGAATTTTTACTGTCCTTGTACCATGCAGAGCAGTGGGGTGCTCTGTGGTGCTGTCTCAAGCTGTATGCTCAGACAGCCTATGTAGCCATTTCTGCCCCGTGAGTTCTGCACAAGGAAGGAGAATGAGTTTCCCTTGCACTTGGATCTTTTCCCCTTAAACCTACCTGACTATGTTAGTTTCCTGTGGTTACTGTAACAAATTACCACCGCCCCTGATGGTTTAACACAGCACAAATTTATTCTCTTAGAATTCTGGAGGGCAGAAACATGGAATCAGTTGTATTGAACCCAAATCAATGTGCCTACATAGCCTCACGCCCTCTGGAGGGTGTGGGGGAGAATCCATCCTGGTCTCTTCCGGCTTCCGCTGGCTGCTGGCACTCCTTTGCTTCTGGCCGCAACACTCCAATCTCTACCTGTGTGGTCACACTGCCTTCTTGGTGTGTGTCAGCTCCCTGTGCTTCTTTCTTACAAGGACACTTGAGATAGCATTTAGGGCCCTCCCAGTTGATCCAGGATGATTCCTCCACGTCAAGATTTTTAATTTAGTCACATCTGCAAAAATATTTTTTTCCAAACAGGATTGACAGTGGTAGGTTCCAAGTATTAGGATATGGATCTCTTTCAAGGGGCTATTATTCAACCAACTGCACTGGCATGTCAATTTTTGCCCTTTCTCAACCCTCTCCCAGAGAGGGAGAGATGGGGCGCTCCTGTCTCAGAGATCCCCACTACTTTCTCCCTTATTTTGGCCATCCAATTATCTTTCTTACTCTTATTCTGGAATACAGGGAAATTTTTGATAGTGTGCATAACTTCCTCAAATCTAGTGACTATCAGCTCTTTCTTTTCTGAACAGGGCTTTGGCTTTTAAGGTTAAAGTGCTTGGAAAAAAAAATCTGTCTTGCTCATTTCAACTAAATCAATTAGAGCACAATAGATGTTCCAAAGAGTTTTTTCCAAGTTTATCTTTTCTAAACTTTATTATATGGAAATTTTAAGTTTATGTTAAATCTTCTAAAATTTTCCATTTGTTTTTGTTTTCTTTTTTTTCAACGTTTATTTATTTTTGGGACAGAGAGAGACAGAGCATGAACGGGGGAGGGGCAGAGAGAGAGGGAGACACAGAATCGGAAACAGGCTCCAGGCTCTGAGTCATCAGCCCAGAGCCCGACGCGGGGCTCGAACTCACGGACCGTGAGATCGTGACCTGGCTGAAGTCGGACGCTTAACCGACTGTGCCACCCAGGCGCCCCCTAAAATTTTCCATTTGAAACTATGAAAGTATTCAGTATTTTTTTCTAAATTTTTATGGTTTTGAATTAAAAAAACTTTTTTTAATGTTTATTTTTGAGACAGAGAGAGAGAGACAGAATACGTAGGGGAGGGGCAGAGAGAGAAAGAGACACAGAATCTGAAGCAGGCTCCAGGCTCTGAGCTGTCAGCACAGAGCCCAACGCGGGGCTCAAACCCACAGGCTGTGAGATCATGACCTGAGCTAAAGTTGAATGCTTAACCAACTGAGCCACCCAGGCACCCCTATGGTTTTGTTATTTTATACTCAGACCTGTCCCAGGGGAACATCTATCTATTTAGATACAGATATAAATATAGATATAGATATAGATATATAGATATAGATATTCAAGTGTTTGTAGAGGAAGGGTATAACTTTTTTCCTCCAAGGTAAATGTCCAAGCATAATTTGTTGAATATATCATCTTCTATAAATATATGACATTGTATGTTTGCATTATAACCAACAGTGACAATATTTATAATACGTTATGACAGGCAACTATTCCCACATGATGTTGAAGAAGTGAAGTGAAATAAACATGTTGGAAAGATAGTTATTGTTATAAATACATCATTTTGTCAATTTCACAATGGAGAGATGTCCTAAGGAGAATGTCCCTTAAACATCAAATCTCAGGTTTGAGTCAGATCTGAATTGGATGTCTGATTCCCTTGCTGTTGGAAGAGCATTGGTGAACAAGAGGAACTCAACTCCTCGCTAGAGCATGAAACAGAGGGAGCTGAGGAGATTTAAGACAAGAACTCCAGCAAAAGAAAATGTTGGAATGAAAGTTGGCCGAAAAACACAAGAGTCTAGGGGAAGGCCAAGAGCACATGACATTAATAGAGAAGAGGAAGAAGAAAATGAGCATTGAAAGTGACAGGGAGGTAACCGTGAAAGGTGAAAATACCAAGAAATCACACCCCCAGAAGGCTGGGAAGTGGAAAAGTGACAGGACAAGAAGTTGGCAGAATCAGCAGTAGGAAGTAGGCCTGTTCACCACGTCAGTAAATCTGTCTGTGGCAGATGCTTGGAAAAGCTCACTTTAAGCAATGTTTGGTTAAATCTGAGGAAGACTTTTTTCAAATTTGATGTCATATTCACACACCGTATCCCATGTCATAAAACACGGAAAATTCCCAACGTTTCACAAATACCTCAATTTTAAGTTTAGGCTGATCTTGAAAACACATTTGTGGCGGAGAAGCTACCCTGTAGTTCCTGAGCAGTTAGGTTGTTTGACTTCTCTCCAAATCTCAGGGTAAATAAAACCAAAGATTTGGTCCTGAAGTTTGAAATCCAGGCCTAAAAGTTTGTTACCAATTTGAATGAGTCTTCTCTTATTTTATTATAATCATTGATGCATTTGGGTTTAAGTCAACTATCTTAGTATTTTTCTTCATTCTTCACATTTTGTCTTTGTTCTTTTATCATTTTGGACTCATTTTAAATTACTTTTTTTAGGGGCGCCTGGGTGGCGCAGTCGGTTAAGCGTCTGA